AATGGCAGCGTATTTTTGCGTCGGCTGCCGTTCGCTTTGTCCTGTTTACTTTCAATTTTCTTTGGAGTTATCGGCGGTTGTTTGCGGCCAACCTCCGCATCACGATCACTCTGGTGCTGACACTTAACTTAATATTAGTTATTTGAAATTTAGGTACAAAGAACATGGTTATCAGAGATCAAGATCTTGTATTCCATTGGAAGGTGGTTTTAGAATAAAGAACCCTCCCGAAATTCCGTGTCATTCTCTTTAAAAAATGGAAACAAATCACATTTATTGGGAACCCTGCATTAATATTTATTTTGTTCTGTTTTTAATATTTTTTGTTACAGCGGCAGCGTGAATACATCAGATGTAAAAATTTCAATTGTCTCACGTTCATTCATTAGATACACCCTGGTGATAGAAAGACGGATTGATGAGTCTTAGTAATAGGAATCCATTGTCTCTTTGAGTACGGTTAACCCTAAAGTCTTATAAGGAATATGGTCAAACTAAGCCACAAGGTATGCCTTGTGGCACTTGGTTCTTTCTGCCTAAACCACTATAAAAAGATAGAAGAAAGTTACTTTCGCTGGGTTTATTGACAGATAAGGTAATACAGCTTGATTTTGATGCAAAAGATAACCAATTTTATTTATTTGTCGACCTCAATGGCAGAGTGACTCGCACGACTGTTTTAATAAATCTTTAGCGTTTCTATATTGTCTCGAGTCTTGGTATTATGTTACCTTTACTGTTCAGACAATACAAGTGAAAAAAAAGAAATTTAGTTTACGCCCGAGGCATGCTTAAATAGCAAGTATGTTAGCACTTATTTGTAATTAAATACGAGTGTAACCTAATATTAAATTTCATAAACAACACATCAAATGTACGCGACAGTTTCAGAGTATTGTATTTATTATTATTCGAATATAGAGTTCTTAAATGAAACGTGTTATCAGCTTTTTTTTATGCATACATTACGCGATACAGGCGGAAATTACAGAGATGTTCCTATTCCGGACATTCTATATATAAAAGCTTGAAGTAACTTTAATAATCAACTCTCGTTTCAGCAACAAAATATGTTCCCACCAAATATATATTTTTCGGCGCGATCATACTGAATACGAGATAATGAAAATGTAATCATGTTTCTGAACACACTTCGATATGAAATGGATTAAAAGGAGGCAATTACTAATATTTGTGAGAGGCAAACATAACAAAATCAACAGACGTTTGTACGATGGCCGCGCTGGGACGATCAAAAGCTAAAGAAACTTTAGCTTATTATTTGCACGGAAGCCGAAAACACGGCTTCGGGATTTTCTTTATATGTTGCTACGATAATTAATTATATTTGATAGCAATTTGTTTGCTTATAAGCGTATGCACATACGCTTTGATATCTTAGCTGTCGTAATGGTGGGCTGTTTTATTTTTTTCTTGTTAGAAACAGTTGTTGTTTCGTTTGCTATTTTTAAGAAGTAAAAATTATATCACTATGTATAATTGTTTTTTGGAATCAATCGAATGTATATATTGAAGTACCTACCCGTTAGAAGTGTAATTATTTAAAAATTAAAATGTCTTGTATGAAAAAAGAAAACAAGACATTACTGTATTGATTGTTTTCACAAGCTTTTAGACATAGTATAAATCTAAATATACATAGTATAAAACAAACCCCCTTCCTGCTGTCTGTGTGCACTACACAATGATTTTTATGCAGTTTATATTGATATACAGAGTGATTAATAAAGGAACATTTAATCTAATATTTAGTCTAATACAGGATAATGCGGGCGAAACCGCTGGTGGAAAACTAGTAATATATTGGTTAAATCCTGAGACTGAATTTCATAGGATATGCTTAAGCTCTTCAACCGAGTAGGCTGAAATTTTCCATACAGATTTTGAATTTAAGTCCCATATGACGGAAGGCAAAACATGATAACCTAGGTCCTTTTTGTGAATGATATGACTGTCAATGACATAAATCATTATGATAAATACGAAAATTATAATTCACTATAAATCTATTATGGCGGACCACCCAAGATGGCGCTCTACATCTTAAATCATTGTTAATAAATGGGTATCGAATGAAAATGTGTTTAGAAGTATTTTTCATACAAATAGTTATATTAATTTTCAAATAGACCTTTATATTTTATTATATTATCTGATATGGCTCTCGACTTCCAGATGTAAAACAAATATTAGCCCCTAATATTGACCCTATGTATAATAAGGAAGCAGAAACAAAATTGCAGAATAAATGTTATATGAAATACGTGTTAGACGTCACCCCTTACTATACATTAGAGTTGTATGAACGAAAAATGTTCTACAAATGATCTGTGGAGGCCGGAAATGACGTGGCAATGTCGCGCGTCGTCGCGGCGTCACGCCAGCAATATTTCGCTGTCACCCGGCCACGACGTAGGTGCGATTCATTTGCCGGAGCGAAAGTAAATTGAGTAGCAGCAGTAGTCCTCTCAGGAACGTCAATATGACGCTCCTGGGTAGAATATTTTAAGGAAGCTACAATGGATACCGTTTATACACATTTATACGACGAGGTCATGTTTCTTGCTAATTTGATATCTGAATAAAATATCAATATGTGCTTTTTTTTCATTGTGGAATCAAGCCTTAGTCAATTTTTATCTAAGTAAAATTATTATCTATAACTAATGCCTATAGTTACCATACAGTGATAAAAATGATCGATTATAGTAACTATGGTGACTTTGTACTAAAACGGTTTTCAAGAAAGCGATTTGGTTCAATAATACTAAACAGTATCTTTGTCATGTTTTAGAACAAATCAGTGATAAAACTAGGTCCTACTTGGGGTTTACAACATTATTATAGAATTTATTAGCAGGCGTAAAAACGTTCTTGAAACTTCTATACTACCGAATTTTGATACTTAGCTAGCTTATTAGGAATCATATGGGTTTGTTAGGTTTGCCAACCGTCCTGTTTTCCCAGGACATTTTTATTTTCCGTAATGTCTTGATAGTTTTTAAGATATACTCAAAATTTCAAATAATAATGTCATGTATTTCGAAATTAAACGGGATTTTTGCAAATTTTATTGAGGGCGACTCATTTCCGGTATCAAGTGGGTCAATACTGTTTATATATATATAAAAAAAATATATATGACTATGGAAACTTTTTTCCGCGTTACTTTATTTTTACTCAATCGAATTTTCTTAATTTTTATATTATTAAATCTACTTCAATTTTATTTCATTATTATACTTATACTTCCTATTTTTAAACAGAAAGTCTTAATTATTTGTCCTCTTTAACATCTTATATTTTGAAAAGATACATTATATATAAATTCGGTAAAATTTGCCAATTTATATCGTAAGTGATAATATTTATTAGTGATAACTTTGGAAATCTGTTATTAGTTTAACATAAGCGTAATAATTATATTACATTAATTTCGTATTCACAATGCTATACTGGAAATTATTCTTAATCAAAAATTCTTGCAAAATCCATTTTTTTTTTGTACTGGTACTCTGAGATGCGATCTCCGTCATCTCATCTCAGTATACCAGGGATAAAGTGGATTTTTAAAGCATTAGGAATATAAATGTAAGTATCTCAACTGTGTTATAGCTGTTTTTCTAATTGTCCTCATTTTTCAAAAAATATATTTGGCCTTATTTTTCCAACTTTGAATTCTAGTTTTTTAAATTAGGAGTTGGCAACCCTAAGGTATAAGGGAATAATCTTATAAGAAAGTAAACTATATAAGATTTTAAGAAACGATCCTGAAGCAAACCTTACTAAATTATTATCACTAGGGATCGATACGATAGTACGATAAATTGGCTGATAGTCATATTGATAGCCATGAATCTTTACGAGATGGCAACAGGCAGTGGAGCTGTCTGCGGGCTCCGATTTACTGCTTCTGATACTGAGGAAATTCCTAAATTATATGCCTTTTACGCATATTGCATAAACCTGAATTATTCAGATAAATCTTCTGTAATATTAAACTATATGAAAACATATCAGAGATTAAGAGCAAAGTAAATCAAAATCATCGTCGTCCTCTACTTGGGCTTAAACGTGAATTTCTCAAATTTTCTCTTTAACAACTTTTTAAAAGTTACCTAGATGTTAACCTTACAATTAAAGGTATTCAATTTATTTATGTATTCTTTTTTAATTGCGAAGAAGTATCTTCGCATTGTAACCATGCTTATTTGAGACTGAGTAATTTTATAACAGTTGTAATGCTTATGCGAGATAATAATTCCAAATAACTTTATGACGTTCGAATACTTACAATATTAATACCCATAATTTAAGATATGATTCTCGCTGACTGGCCTCAAGATTTCGTCTTGTATTCTGTTTATTCACTCTAAAATATTAGCAACACATACATAGCTTTTATTTGAGTGTAATTAAGGAACGACATTGGCATTGAATATAAAGAAATACGGGACTTTAACAGCAAAAGTGAGTTTCTCATTAGATTGATGGGAACAAGGGAGCAGGCGTGCCGGTTTGTCTGCAACCTCAAGATAATCCCATTTTAATTAAACGTAGCTCGGATTTACAGGGGAGATTAATCAAGGCCTCACCGAATGCCAGCTCGCGGGCCTCACCTCTGCCCTTGAGTTAGATTACAAGACGCAAGACACCGACGGAATGCCCCGTTGTCTCAGCGATGACGCTTCAAAGAAATTTCCGAGATTCTTCGTTTCATGATTAGCTGCAGTGCGAAATTGTGCTACCGAGTTCGTTATCAAAAGTTCCTTTGAATGTGGACTTTTTGAAGATTTCTTCGTTACTCTTTATGCAATATCAAAGTAAGATTGTTTGTTTTGATAAAAATATACTGTAAAGTATAGAAATATACTTTACATCTCATACCGAAATTCAACGTCGGTCAATGAAAATTTAATCATAATACTATAATATTAATATCTTTTTTTTATGGAATATGGGGCAGTCGAGCAGACGGATCACCTGATGGTGAGTGATTGCCGCCCATGGACACCTGCAACACCAGAGGAGCTACTAGTGCGCTGCCGGCTTTTAAGGGACGAATAAGCTTTACGCTTGAAAGTTTGAAGGTCGTATCGGTCGGGAAATACCGCTGGCGACAAACTGTTCCAGAGTTTGGCTGTGCGAGGCACAAAACTTCTAGAAAAACGCACAGTTGAGGACTTCCAACCATCCAGATTTACTAAGGGACACACCTTCATAACATAAGGAAAATGAGTCAACCAACTATGCGGGTCCATTGGTGGATGACAGATAAATTTGGAACCAATGACTTAAAGTGCCTGCCAGAGCACTATGGAGTTCGAGTTATTTTTTTTGCCATTTATGCTTTACGTAAGTTGCGCAAACTCCGCCATCGCAGACTTAACGCTCTATACAATAAGCTCTTTACTTTACCTACACGAAATATCTATGTAATTCTCTAAGGAGTCAAGGTATTCCCAGATTTGTGTGACGAGTCAATTCGATTCGTAAAAAGAGGGTTTCCGAAAAATACTTTAAGTCAAGCAACACTAGTTACCGTCGGAAATGACGCGTGCTGAGCCGCGGCCCTAGCCCTGTCCGCCCTTTAATTTCTCGCCTCGGAGGGCCCAAACCTTTTACCGAAGGTTATTTCGGCCGCTTATGTTGCCTGGACTCTCGACCTCGATCTGACACCAAATTGACTTAATTTAATGCCCTCACCTTTACGATGTATTCTGATAACGTAATTGGTTTTAGATAAGCTTCATTGAATTATGGTAAGTTAAGAAACGTCATTTCAAAGTAGAAAAATATTACATAAAAATAAATTTGAACACAAAACACAACTGCATGTTTAACGTATAAATCAAGTCGAGAAATATTTGATGGGATTGTGTCACTATACATGCTATTGAATATAACTGCCTGGATAAAAAGTCGCCACTGTTGGGCACAGGCCTTACCAATGACTTTCAATCGAATCAAATAAGGTCAATGGACCATGACCCACCACGCAGGTCCAGTGCAGAATGGTGAGTGTTACTACTGCATATGCAGGCGGAAACGACAGCTTGACGTGCCTTCTATAACACGGAGGAGCTCTAGATAATATTTTTTAGAGCACCGCTTGCATCACACACTCGCGTATTGTTTATTATACGATGGATGACATTAAAAAAATCTCTTATAAATATTGTGTATTATGCTTATGTATTATATACAGCAACCAAGACCACTAATCAACTATTATATCGCGTATACACCGACATAAGGAAATATTGTGAAGCTTTTCACAGAATGCATCTACTTATCAAGTTTCGATATCTAGTCTCAATAGTTTCGAAATAAAGTGGCTTTGACAAACGGACGGATCGACAAAATTATGCTCTAAACTGTTTAGTTTCTACCTCTAAATATGCGTATGAAGATAATTATAATATGCCTGAAGGCTATTTTTATTGGTCGATAAGTAAATAGCTAAACCGCTTGCGGGGTTTTGAATATGGAAAGTGACCATTTACATAAGTCAATTGGGTCGCATGATTCCTGTAGGAATATCTATAATAAATGCGTCTATTGTATCCGTTACGAATATCTACCACACTCCATATGCCAGCGAAATTCTAAATATTTTCTGTAACTCATGTCATAGAATTACCCATTGCAATATTTAGGGCTATGTATGTTTATACATAATGTTAAATTACGGATAGAATAGCGTTAAATAAGACAAATACAATTTTTTTAGGTTCTAAGGAATGTAAAAAGTATTTTTTCTGCTACCAACACGATGTCACGAAGCGAGCTCTCGTCCACATAAAGTGAGGAAATCATGACACGCTCAAGTTGGGCTCGACATCAAATCTTCCGAGCGCTTTAGCCGCCACTTTTCCTTGTTACTTATATTTTTCCTGGTGGCTCTAATGTTTTCCCTCGTCGGCTAATAACCAGGATGGAGCCAGTGCCGGGCACTTAGCGCGCCCTCCGCTATCCCGCGGGACTCCGCTTCCCTTTACCCTCCAAATTGAGTTTCACTGAGTGATTTAGAACAAAACTAGTTACGACCAAGTGTGCCCACTCGTATGCTTCAATAGTGACCTAATGACGCCGCCGCGCCTCCGATACAATATACTTGTTGAGGATTTTTCGACCCACAACTCAACTCCTCACTGTGTACGCTGCGAATGGTTATTTGTTCAAGAGAACAAGATGTGAAAGTCGAAACGGAAGAGGAATTAATAACATCGTGGGTAGTTACGAAATAGGTGGAAAATGACAATCGTATTTGGAAAAACATTTAATTAAAATGTTTAATGTAATTCAGTTGTTTATTAAAAAGACATTCGTTTAGTTATATACCTTAGGTGTTGATATAAATTATTAAAAGTTATTTACATAATATAATTAATAGCAAGACGTGTCCGTGGTTTTCTTACTTTTCGACTTTGATGTGTCAGAATTTTCAAATGTGCAAATGGTCATATTCTTAATGTAACTCACAACGGCTTTATCTATTTCTATAGTAAGGCTATAGATCTCCTGGTTTAATCAATGGTTTCTTTAGTAAGGGTAATTGGTCTTACCTGTTCTTTTCTCTGGATCACTGAACAGCAGATCGTCGAGCCGCGCGGGGGAAGAACGGCCCTTGGCGTTGACGGCGACGGCTACCAGACGGAATCTTACGTCCCATTCTAGACCTCGGACCGTCCACGACGGCTCGTCAGATGATAGGTTCACTCTGTACAAGAACAGATAAGAAATTATTAATGGACAGTACACTTCTTAACTATGTATTTTATATGTACGACCAATTACATAATATTATACTTTTATAACTGATATCTATGTTGATCGCAAGTTTCAAATCGTCTTTGAACCATTTTCTTAAATAGAAAACTTTTTAATTAATAAATGTCTAATAACAATAAATTAATTCACGTGTATAATTAATCCATTAATATTAAAGTATAAAAGGAATTATGTGAATACACATTCTTTGTTAAATATAATATAAAAAAAGAATATTGACTCTGGATTATAATGACACAGGAACGTAACTGAATTATAATTAATTGAGCTATTGGGCTAGGACGATTCCCGCTAATAGACTTGCTTTCTCGATGTTTCACGAGTATAGAAACACTCATACATACAATATCTGTGCAATATCCCACTTCGTTATTTTTTGTAATAGTAATTTATTGGAATTAACTAGACTTGGTATTTCTGACCAGGGATAGATGATTGTTCTGTTCTAATTAGATGCTTTCGTTTTATGCCAAATAATTGTTTCTTGCTTTTGCTATTTAGAAGGTGCTTTTAAAGTTTTAGATGAATAATGTATGTTTTTTTTTATAATTTTACATATTACTACCTTTTAAAACTATTCATTTAAGCTATGTCCTAACTATACTACATAAAAAATGTCCCCCAGATCATTGCCAACAGGCAAGATGCCCAGATGTTTTTTAGATCAAAAATTTATCGAGGTACATATTTTCAATTATTCATAGGGACTTTTGGGCTCAGAGAAATATCTGACGTTAGTCAGATGTTTTTCTGAGTTGAGTGTTCCGTATTTAATAATAATTGAAGCTTTAACGTTATACATGAATATATGATATACTTATCAACACCTTGTGAAATTGGATATAAAAGAGCCTATTCTGAATTTTTACATGTTTACAAAACTCAACCATTCTCAGGTAACGGGTAAACAGGTTGTAAATTCGAGATGATGATGGTAATATGCCCTGGATTTCTGTGATAGAACAACCAATGACTCTAGCTCAGATAAAATATATTATAAGTTGTTCTTTTAATAAAAGAGAAAGCGGTTATATGAAGATATTTTGTGAATAATAAATAAGTTAAAAATACTATATTTTAGCCAGTATGTAAGTTGTATTTTTTTTTCATTTGGCTCAATAGTTTAACAGTGTAAAAACTAATTTATAAATGCACAAACCAGAGTACTCGATGGGTTAACCTTAAATTTAGGTGTAAGTATGGATTTTGAAAACTTAATCTCCTAAGTAGGTCAGATACCGCTACTTCGGCCGCGTATCATGCAGCTTTCAGTAGGAGAAAGAACTTTTAAAATCGGTTCATTAGGTTCGGAGCCTACTCGACTCAAACAAATAATCATATCTTTTCTCTTTCTAATATTAGTATACTGTAAATAAAATGTACACTTTACCATACATTACTTTTCCTTGAAAAAAACAAAATGTCTACATTTCATTAAATAATAAAGCATGTGTAGCAATGCTGACATTCCTCGCAACAGAGTTAGACATTTAAGAGAATAGATTCCATTATTTCCTCGAGAAAGCTCTCTAATATACGAAAATAGAATTAAGGATAAGCATAAACCACCGGGGTGTACGAGGGATGAACCTGGAACTTCGCATTACGCTGCGGTCGGCGGTTATTCATAATTGACGCTCTGCAAGCTTAATGAAGCTCCCGCGTACACAGACACAGTTCCACACTTTCAGGCCGCGGTAGTGGTCTCCCCAAGTTGAATATGTACCGTCTTTTTTAATCGCAATTTCGTGAAAGTTCCGTCCCTTCAATTCTATGTAGAATAGTCTTCTTTCTTAGTCCATCATTCATTCATCTCTTACACAGAGACAAATAAACGTGTTTTTAAATTATAAAGAAATGATGAAGCTACAGTAAGTACAAACTATAGTAATAAAAATAGCGGTAAAATTATTATAGACTAAGTATTCAATTTCAGTTTGTTTGACAGAATACAGAAATGTTAATTTTTATAATTAATCATCGAAGATATTGCTTTTTCAATAAATATTAATTTTTATTAATGCAAATAGGAATTTTTTACCATGTTTCAAATTTCATTTAGAACGATAGCTGAGGACAATCTTCGTGATTGTTTACGAAAATGTTGTAAATGTGTGTGTAATAAATATCAAAATTGCCAGATGAGAAGTTGTGTCTCTCTGTACACGTGTACACGAGGTGGGGGGAGCAAAATCACGTCACGATTTTTAAATAACACCTCTGTTTCCCCATCCTTCTTTCAAAGCCTCATTCATCCATACGTCCTCAAAATACAAAATAATGTCTTGTTATTAAAATGTTTTTCCATTCTGTTGTACGAAAAGAGATTTAGAATTTCATCATAGCAACGAATGATATTATTAACATTGTCATGTTTTATATCTGTAAGCTTTTTAATAGGCTTGCTACGAAATCGAAATGGGACAGCTGCAAAAATAGATTTAATAATATTTACTTTTTTTATCTTATTTTGTTGACAACTTTTGGGTTACAAAACCTGATTACGGAAAAAAAATATGCAATAAGATTTGTTTTTCTATAACATTGGTGTTGTGGTGTTCTGAGCATAGCCGTTGTTGTCAATCAACTTATCGTTATGATAATTTATTAAGCTGTTATTCTGTATATCATCATCATCAGGCGTACAATACCTACTGCAGAGCATAGGCCTTCCAAAGATCTCCTCGAGGATCGGTCGTGCGCTGCCCGCATCCAGCCGTTTCCCGCAACCTTTATAAGATCATCAGTCCTCTTGGCGGGGGCCTCTCCACTAAGCGTCGTTCGATGCGTGATCCAGGCCAGGAATTTTCAACTTCAACGGCCATAGGTCTTTCTAGCTATGTGTCCCACCCACTGTCACTTTAGCTGAGTAATCCTTCGAACAGTGTCAGTAACGGTAATTTCTCCAAGGTCTCCCCGTTTCAATTTCAATTAAGTAAAGTAATTCCAAGCACTGCTCCCTCCATTGTTCGCTGGGCGACCTACAGTCTTCTTATGAGATCCATAATGAACCACGATTCGCTTCGAGAGTCATCACTGGCACTATTCCGTTTATGGTAAGGTTTAATGATATAACTGACCTGGGTGCAACTCCATCTGCAGAATATACTTCTAGTAGGAACCGCTGAGGCAGGCCGCCGTCGAAGCCCGCCACGCAAGACACCTCTACCGAGTCCACAGTCTGATTCCACAGTGTACAGTTCCGAGGTGGATGGGGCTTGCCTAAGGAAGGGGAGGAAACTGGTGAATACTAAATTGACATAAAAATTATATTTAACTTTTAGATACTTATGTCATATTACATGTTTTACCAATTATTAAGAAGTGTTTGATCTAATTAATCAAAGAATAATAAAAAGTCAACATGACGCCCGCTGAGCAAGCAAGAATGTTATTTTAATTTATAATGGCATTTGTAAAGAATAAAATATTCTAAACTACTTTTAAATGGATGTAACGCGTTTATATCTAGTTTATTTTTTCAAATAAAATCGAACGAAATCGAGAAAAATTAAATTTTGGTGTGCTCTTAATTTTTTACACGTTTAAGTTACAACATAAGAACGATTTCAAGTTTAAAAGGTAGTGAAGACCTTTTAAATTTGAAATCGTTCGTTTATCTAACTTATAGAATAATCTAATAAAGTAAATGTCACTTATTTACTTTATTGGATTATTCTTATTGCTCCTTGCACTTGATAAAAAATGGTGAGTTAGAATATCAAGATTATTTTAGTTTTGTGTACCAAATTAATTTTATATTATTTAATAAAAAATATAGACAGAACTAAGTACAACAGCTTGGAATTGAACATATAAATAAGTAGGTATATTAAATAGTATCCATCTTACCGGCAGCCACCATTTGGAAGACGCAAGGCGCTAGTTGTGTGCCGACCTCATTGGACGCAGAACAGGACAGTGTTCCATAGTCCAAATCAGCGACTGGGGTATATCTAAATAAAAAACACAGTAATGTCATATTAATTTTATCACATATCTCAATCAGCAGTTTAAATAAAGCACTGTTACAGTATTAAAAGTCCTATTAGAAGTTAGTTTATAGAATGTCATAACAAAATATTTGTTTTAAACGATCCACTTATAATTACAACTCATAGTGGTGATATTTGTTAAACGTTTAAGGAAACTAAACCAACCAAATATATACAAGGTTTAAACACCAGTAAAAAAATAATAAGTTTCTCCATGTTAGTAAGTTCTCACAAAATGTATTCGATTTAGTAAATTCGTATCGAGTAGTTATTATATCATTTTTTTTAATAGAAACTTAAACAGGTCTCTACATTAGAGAACTACAAAGAGAAGCAAGATCTCGAATACAAAAAAATGGCGTTTGTGTTACGCAAAAGTTCTTATCGCAATCGATTATTTTTTGTGCTATTATATCAGTCAGGTTCAGAAAGCTCCAACAATAATGATCGTGACAAGAAATTTGTCTATTTAATTTCATTCTTCGAGGAAATGATACCAGCTTGTAACGGTTCGTCGTACACCGTTTATTTTGTCCTAGATTCCCGAATTCAAACTTTTTGTCTTTTATCTTTAACATTTTCTTTTTATTATTTATTTTTCGTGATTTAAAATTTTGAGTAACGCAATATACTCTTTTTAATATTTAAAATATCTGTTTAAAATCAAGTATGATCAAAAATACGTTAATGTATTAATAAGAGCTACAAGAAAACCCAGAAACGGGGTATGTAATTGTTTTATAAGTAATATTGGCAATACATACAAACTGTTTTTATGTTATTTCTGTTGTTATATATTTTTGTTTAACTATAAACATGTGGTATTGAATTAGGATGATGCATAACACTTACTTTAGACTGGAAGCGCTGCCATTGGATGTATATCGGTCAGCAGCGACGTCTATAGTTTCTCCGGAGTTGTTGAATTTCCATTTGAAGACTGCAGCGGGAGGGTCAGCGTCCACCTCACATATGATCACAACTGACTCTCCACGCGCTGCCCCGACCACGGAGACCCCACCGTTCCGACATGACGGTGAATCTAACAAAAAAACCATCTCATCATCATCAGCTTTACGGCCTTATTGCATGGGCTAAAGTCTCTCTTACCCCCGGCCGTCTGGCTTCGTCTGCCGGGGGGAATCCTCCCACCCCTCGAATCGTCGAGGGGTCGGGAAGAGTAAATTATGGATACGGGAATAATAATAATATTCTTTATTGCACAAATATAGGACACATTACAAAGAAAGAAAAAAGATCAGACAGTATACAAAAGGCGGCCTTATTGCTATGCAGCAATCTCTTCCAGGCAACCAATGGTAACATAGAAAACATAGATAAACAGTAATCGTCATCCAAGTCTTCTATCCTTGACCACATCTGTACCATAATAATAATAATAATATCCTCCCCCCCCTCGAATTGTCGAGGGGTCGGGAAGAGTAAATTTTATCCTAAAAAATAATAATAATATACTATAAGCATTGATGCATCCACCCAGGCTAACGTTTAGTTTTTATAGTCTAAGAACTCATGCAACGAATAAAAGGAACGATAACCATATCATATGTCTTCACAGTTGAGAACATAGCTCTTTTATTTAAAGGGCGAACAAGTTATAAACCACCACAGGGTTCTAGTGCAGATCGATAGGTGAAACACTTTATTCAATTAATAGATAGAAATAGTAAGAACAGCATATAATATTCATCTATATAATCTTCTATACCGCATTAATTTTAATAATGTATCCAATATTCTAAAAGTCATTTAAGATTACGTCATACTCATCACAGAGTATCTTCAAGCGCCATATTTAATATTCAATAGTAAAATAACAACGGTTAATTTATCTATTACCCTGCAGATAGGTATCGGATCAAGAGCCGGCGAGGATTCATTCAATCCATCTCACTCACAAATTCAAGGTGAGTAACGTAAGGCAATATCTCTGACCTAATTTCCCCAAATCCACTCAAGTCATTGTAGCTAGCTGCCCATCGGCCGGACCTATCGAATAACGTAAAGTGAAATGGAGAAACGCGATCGACAGCGATTCACCGTAAATGAACGGTGACATGCAAGGAATATATCTATATCTATCAAGCAAGGGTCGGTCTATAATACATTTAGATCTCATCAAACGACGCAGTTACGTAATACCATTCAACCCCAACAACACCTTATTGCTTAAGAATCAACATAACGAATATTTTGATTAAATATACTTTAAAGTAAGAAATGTGACGTACTAAAATTGTGACTGATTTCAATATTCGATTAATTTTTAATCGGTATATCGATTCATCTGATAGCTCCCATATCAAATGTATAAAGAAATCGCTCAATAACGTTAGTTATGTTGACTGATTTCTATTGTTTGTTGAATATGTCTTCGCCCCAAACAGCGGAATATTTATTATGGCTGCTAAACAACAGTAATATATATACGCATGTAATATGGATATACTAACAGTAACTTATTCAAATAGAACGCTTTAATCAAGAGTAATATATTATATCAGGGCAGAAAATCATTGAACACTATATGAACAAAATTCTGAATCTTAATATATAGTACAGCTATATTTGTTAATACGACTTCAATATATTAAGATAAATATAACAACGTCTCATATAGGCAATTATTTCTAATGAAAAGATAATAGAAGAAGAAGCCTTCAAATAAGTAATAACAGTAACAAAAACACATAAATTATATTGTTACAGCTTTCGATGTTAGTGTGTGTAAGTAGGAACAGCTGTGAACCAAAGTTGCGGATCTTCCCTCACGGTTCCAAGTCAGCCTGCACTGCGGACACCCATTATTAATAGAGTGCTGACATAATTACTTGGCAAGTGCCACTTGTATTGATACATTTACAACGTTATCATGAGGTCTTGCTTGCCCCATAAAGTTTATGAAGAAATTGAGCATTTGGAAAACTAAGACCTATATAAATATGAACATTGAACGAACGAAAATATTTGCGCTGGTATTGGTTATTATTTGAAATAAGGTTTTGTTACACAACGTGCGTAATAGAAGTTATTTATGGTGTTATTTTAAAAGATGTCATGACATCCGTACCAATCTCAATGTTATATTTAAAATCACTAACCGAAACCAAGCTACTAGTTTATTTAATCCTCTTTGAAAATTACCAATTTCACCTGATACATAACAAGGCATTTTAGAAATCGATATCGATTCTATGCAATAATTGAATGGAAATGTTTCTAAGCATTGTAATGATTGGCAACGTCGCACTAATAAAAGGGGAATTTTCGAACAATTATGCACTGTTCAAGTGACGAGTGTACTGTTGAATAGCCGACGTGTCGCACGCGTCACTGCTCGACATGTTCCACGCGACATTCGGACACCGCCACACTCCTGTGTGCGATACTGACGAGAAAATTCATTTGACAAGATAATTGAGGATGCAATTTCTGGTGGTATCACGATGGTGGAACAGCAAAAATAGATGACAATCTAATTTTGATATGTCATAATGGCCACAGTGAAATGAAGCGTTATGTGTTTTTAAAAGTAGGCTTTCTTAGATTATGGGAAACTGTATATTTCCCCATGATCACATATATAAAAATTACAGCATTTTGCGAAACTTGCCTAAGCTGGGCCAGTTGTAGGATGAGTGACCAAATTTTTTATATAACGCCATCCAAAGCCAACGGCTTCGGTATCATTTGAAATCTCAATTATTCAGGCCATGGCCTATTCTCCCTACTTCGGCCCGAATGATGATGACAAAGGCTTCTATTTAAAATTTTAGCCGATTGTGTAAAGATTGAACAACACTTTTTCGTTATCATTATTTTAATGGTCTTTAAAATTAAAATTAAAAAAAGAGAACGGCAAAGGAGTATTGCACCACAAATATTATAAAAGATTGCATCATCAACCTCTGTTATGGTAGTCATTAAAATCCCGTCTTCTTCTGCCAGGGTCATAGCTTACAGACGCTGAAGCATAGACCAAAGAATGACAGAAAAGAATAAAGGGCACAATAACTGAAACTGGACTACAGACGGAATATTATGCTATTATACAAGTAATCCGAGAAGCTATATTGGGTGATTTCTAGGGATGCATCTAGAAACGCACTACGACCGATAAGTAACCGATATTTATAAAAAAGTATCGGCGATACTGAACCCGATACCGATACGGATATTAAAAAAATTGAACCGAATTCACAGTTAAAAAAAGTAAAAATAATACTTATCTGAAAAACGACTTTTTCAAGAAAATGCTATAAAGTCGGTTCTGAAAACTCGAGATAATTGCGCACAAACATGCACACATACAGGTCAAACTGAGAACCTCCTTTTTTGAAGAAGGTTATAAATCCAAAGAAATCTCGAAGGTATAAACCATTAAGAAAAGAAAATTTTTACACACCAGAAGAAACAATCAAAACTAGCGGAATGGACTAAGTGGACATCGCAAGTCAAAGAAATGATATAACCGGGACTGTAGACAAATTATGCGTTTTGAATTTATTAAGTGCGGCAGTGATGCGTTCGCAGGGGTCATCTATAACGCGCGAAATTAAAAAGGCATCGATGTATCGGCAAATTAATAGCGCCTACAGTATCAGATGAATCCCTAATGATTTCCATAGAACGGGCGGGAGTAACGAAACACTGTTGGTAAAAAACAAAAGATAAACAGGGAGAAAAAATCTGCCCTTGCTTATATACTAAAATCTTGATGATTTTTTTCAGTACAAGGTAGATCTGCGAAGCCTATGGCATAGTATTTCAATATTAACAAGTGCAACAACCTAGTCAGAATAAATGAATTGGTGTTTAAATCTGGTCAAGGTTAAAACATATTTTTGAAATTCTTTTTCGTCAAACGTTGAATGAGATGAGTGAGATTCTATTCAGCCATTCTAACTTCCTTCTACGTGCTGTGGATAGAATAGATCGGCAACCATTACGCGAGGGCCCGTCCGAATCGACGCGTCTCACCTGCGCCTCGCTATACACTAACAAACAGAATCGTCTAATTTATATCCCTTATTTATCCTTCGATAGAATTGACTGAGCTTAATTACTGCAATCCAATTTGATTAAATATTGTCCAAACGCCTTTTGAATACAATAATAGTAAGCCTACAAAAAAAAAAGTTTCTATTATTAATATTTATTGAAATTAATGTGGGTTTTAGGATTTTTTTGAATATACATCGCAAGGTGTAATTTTGAGAATAAGGTGGGTTCATCTCTGATCGATTTGTGGAATCAAATTTCCGAATAATCTAGATTCCCTAATTCTTGCTAACAGATAATATTCAGATGTGCAATAGAGCCGCAGGTAGAATTCTAATCTATGTAATTTTCTCCTGAACGACAAATTCTTTTGATTGCTAGGACATAGATGTTAGTCTGAGTAAACTTGATCAGCGTTACCTGTTTTCTCTTTATATGTAGAAGTGTTCTAACTGCTATGAATTAACCGATACAATGATACGTAATGACAAAATACATAAGGTTATCACTTCTTAAAAAACATGTCACAATTTGGTAATGACTGCAAGAAATCAATAGATAACTGTTAGAAACTATAGTTTAGTATCGAATCATAAAGAAAAAGAGTATCAAGGCAAAAGATTCAGAAAAACAATTAGCGGGGAAGTTTTCTTTAAGCGAGATATTTATACAGTGGACAAAATTATTGCGTGCAGATGGTACGACAGAGAAACGGTTCTGCAGCACAAACAGTACGCTATAGATATTACGACTAAGGGTCACATAGAAAACTCTGTGACAGTTTTCACTTAAATTTACCTCGAATAGATGAATGTTATTGTTGTTATTTGTGCGTTAGTGGATGTTACCAACATTGGGTAACACTTACTAACGCACGGTGACAGCTTTACGTAAGTATTTTTTTTTATTTGAATTTATATGACTTTTATCACTGTGATTTTATTGTGTTATATTGCTATCTCTATCGTGTGTGTTTTTATGTCAATCACAAGTTATATGAAATATACAACATCCTAATTTTATGTTTGATTTAGTAGAACTTGTGAACTATATAAGTTCGCAAGCTAAGCTGTTGATAACACCCAGGATCAACTTGATTAGGGAAATTTGTCGTTTCCAAACTCTTTTAACAATTACATGGGTGCAAACAGGAGCAAAGAACAAAACTTGATGAGCACAGCGGCATGACGAGACGGACTCTAATTCGCATGTTTGCGGCGGCACAATATGCGGACTTCTCGGCTAATTAATTCGGTCCGAGTTGAGTGTAGGTCTCCACTCATTGTTCCAGATTCACGCCGATTGTTTTGAACGAGCTTCGAGAGGTATCATAATGAAACCAGGTCGTGACGATTTAATTCTGAACTTTCGCGGGCTCCGCTCCCTTTAAGTTTGTGAGAAATTATTACCACTGAACTATTTATACGTACATTTTTTGTTGGCTGAATTTTCAACGCAGTTTTACTATATGAGTGCAACGGGTAAATAAGATTGGATATTGCTAGCTTGGGGCGTGTTCATAACTTTGGATCTTTGGGTGGTCCATAAATCTTTACGCCCGTAATGCACGTTCGGATTGTTAGAAGCGATACTATCTAAGGCAAACTCTATACTAGATTATGCAGAAACATTGGAATATTAAATGAGCACTGTAAACAATGCAGTAGTTGCATTATAAACCAAGCTGTCTTTAAAGTGAGTGGGCAAAAAACGGGAGTCATAAACAGTGTAGATATGAGGAGAGATGATTTATAACAACGTTTACAGGAAGTGGAACAAAAGTTATCGCACAGCAGAACCGGGTGGCCGGCCAGGACCGGCACGTCCGGCTATTCAAGGGGACTAGTTCGCGACGCAAATTTCAATAAATTCTAATATTCTCCACATTTGCAAAAGCGCATACATTCCAAGTCTAAGTCACATAAAATGTTGGAAATATGTAGCGTGAATTTTTCGAATGCTTTCGATGGCGCAAAAAGCTTCCGAAGCGGCAATTTCGTAGGACCTTTTTATCGTGTCGATGTTTCTGCTTCCTTCGGTAAAAATTCACATGTTTCGGTAATGACCGTACCTCGAAATGGTGTTACATCGGGTAGGCGAAATTGGACAACCTGTTCTTGCCAAATTTGCAAATGAAATAAAGATTTATTTATGTGTGCCTAATAACATTTATTTATTGTGAGAGGTGTTTATATATTGAAAATTGTTTCAAAAGAGATAAAATGAAATGTATTCGTTTGTCAATACGTTATCTAAATTATTATAGTTCGAAAAAATAGGTTTCTTCTATTCTAATTTCTATTTGAATTCCGGGCGAGGTTTTTTTTATCGGTTATTAAATATTAAGCGTTTACTTCAATACAAAGTTTTGAATTATATATTTTCTATTTCGATTTTCCCTCGATTTTTTCTTGTGATATTTTCAGTCCGCACGCGGAAACCTGTGCGGTTCGGTTCGGTAGGTGTTAACGATTGGAAATGCAGCCGGGACTAACGGCATAGAGTTACTTCCGTAGCACGGATGAGCTCGAGATAATATATTTTTGGTCACTCATCTTATGAACAACTCTTGCGAATGTTGTTTAAAAACGGTATGGCAGTCATGGAGTCAAAAAACCGCTGCATCATCGAGCTCCTTCCAACAATCTTATTAAAGTAACATATAACTTACATTTGACTCTGAAGTGAAGCTCGTTGGAGACTGTCTCGCCTTCCGCGTTGAGAGCGGAGCAAGCGTACCGTCCACTACTGTGCCTCGTCACTTTCTGCAGCACGAGGCTCTGGTTACTGTGGAACACGCGCGCTGTCGCGTTATGTGCCAAAGGCCGATCCTGGGTGCAATGGAATTATATCATTTGATTATTATAGTATAAAAATGAAATAAAAAAATTTGGTTAAGAAATGTAGCATCACGAATGACCGGTTTTGCTGATACAAAAAGAATAAACTTAAAGGGTTACTTTCTTTGACTGCGATGCCTGTGCTGGTGAGACCATATTGAAATAAATAACGTTTTCGAATGGTTGTGACCTCAACTTTTTTTGGGGTCGGAGGATCAAATGTTTGTCCAAAACTCGGATGTCGAAAAGTTTTTATACATTTTTTTTTTCATCTCAAACTATAGGGCCTCCTCGTAGATTCAGTACTAGCAGTACCCAAACAAATAACAAATTATTCTTCTGTAATAACTTGGTTTTGTGATTACAACAATAATGTCAGAAATCTCATACTAAATGAATAATGAAAAAAAAACGCAAAATCATGACCATAAAGATATATCTATATAAAAAAGAAGGCCAAATAAGCACACCGTTTTATTTGAAAAATACATATTTCAATAGAATAATTATACCATTCTCATCAATCATTCTCAATATATTGAAAATATAGGCAAGTCTTATTATATATAACATTCCTTACCCTAATTAAATATTGAAATAATACAAAGTCTTAATAATACCGACAGATAGAACAAATAGAATAGTTACTCTAAACTGACTAAATAAATGAATCGTTTGAGCAGTCGTCTTCAAATTCAGCGCACAAGTAAATTTTACTTTGTCCCAATTCGCTCGAAACTAATATTGATACACATTGTCTTCTCGCTTTTGTTTACCGAGTAATGTAAATTAACACAATCAAGTAAGTCGATGCTATTTTAAAGCCACATATAACTATTGTAAATTGAGATTTGTAGGTTAACCCATAGTTTTATTGTTGTATGATATAAGTAATATATCTATATTATATTATTACAAATAATTAGCAAGTTAATAATATCACTCCACAGCTTTATAGTACACTAGCTTTCGTCAGCGTCTTCGCCCGCGTGAATCCTACGGTAATGTTTAGTGGGATAAAAAGTATCCTATTATCTTAGTCAGCTAATACTCTATCTGTATACCAAATTTCATCAAAATCCGTTTATTAGTTAAGCCATGATTGACGGAGAAACAGCCAAACAAAGAAACTTTCACATTTATAATATTTCATTAAGATCCATTATACTCGATAATTCACAAAAAAGAAATTATAGCACAACGAATATTAAAGAATAAGCAAAACAATATTATCGTAAGCTCAGAAACTTTAGTGACAGCACTGGGACTATTACAAGAATATATTTATACAAAGGGTCCCTCGCATTAACCGTGTCCGTCCGCACAGACCCCTCAAACGGACAAAGGCACTCGTTACGTCCTGGAGGACTGATTATTTCTGCTTCTAACAAAGAAATATCTTATTATGGGACATATATATGAATTTACTAAAGTATAGATAAGTGTTTTCCTCGTAATATGCATAGTATACCCAAGATAAACTGTAATTTTTAAACCAAAACAAGTGGTTCTTCGTTTGTAAAAATCTAAGTGCTTCCGTGATTTTTTTTTGATTTTAGAATGCATGTATTGTTTAATTACGCATGGCTTCTCTGTTTAGCTATGCATCGATTATGACGTAACAATTATTCATGCGTACACCATCACTTATGACAAATGACATATCTTCAATAAAATACGTACCATGATAACTGTCTGAAAGTAATCTAGACTGATCGCCGTGCATTTGTTTCAACTTTTTTATAGCCGTTCTACTATTTTTTCTTGTAAAATAAATATAGTAACTAACGAGTTTTGCCAGTTTGTCTTATATAGGTCATATACAAATGAAGTAAAATGAGGAAGAGTTTAGAAATGAATTAGAGAAGTCCGAATCGGTGGGTATGGCAGGTTGTTTGCGTGAACGTACTCGGTAGCGGTCGGTTGTTTGTGCGGTCGGGTTGAGCAGTAAACAGAACGCCATCAATCTTACGAGGGACATAACAGGTGAGTTGGACGTTTCATTACTCGGTTGCAGTGTGGGTGGAAATCGACCTGTTTTATAATAGTCGCAACTGTTTACCTGCAAAAGATCGCCAGCGAAGATTGCACGAGTTCGCAAACGAGATATCGCAGGAAGAGCTCCTCAATTTATGCCCTTGTAATTTTCTGTTAGACACGTTTCCTTTGATGACGATAAAGATGGGAAGCGTCCGTAAATATCCGACAATGTAAGTGGATATCTAAGCTGATATCGAGACTTTCGACTTAAAAGAAGATAAGTGGCATGATCGAAACAAACAAACATAAACCATTTAAAATTCCACAGGAAAAATAAAGTGTTATTTAGATTACTACGGGATACGAATGATATGGAAATTGGTAATACGTTCCGTTGGCGATATGAGGTTATCTAAACAGTGAAGCCAAAATCGACTGTAGTTAAGATTCCTCTGTGATGTAATTAGTGTAATTTTGGCTCGTCTCTGTGAGCTGTGGCTTCGCTTTGATTAGGATCGAACAAACAGGACTGTTCCCTTCGGCGGCGCCTGTCACGTCGCCATTGTACCGGCCCGATTAATACTGAGTGAATGAATTAAAAGTGTTAATTAAAAAAGGTGTTTCAGACAAAAATATATTCTAAATATGCTATTGGTAACAAAAACACATTAATTATGAAATTATGTGAAGACAATTCAATCAGAAACGTCATTTGAATGAATTATACCCTAGACTCCGTGCGCCCCTATTGTCTTCGAAGAATGATAACAGACGGGATCGTTTCCGTTTGTTTAATGTTTTATTTGCGCCCCGACGGCACTCGTTAAAAAAGGTCTGCCGGCGCACTAATTGTCGGGGCAGGACTGAATGCGACCCTTTGCATCTCGCCTTGTGTTCCTTAATGAGACAATCTGAGCTTGTGTGATTTCCGAACTCTGAAAGAGCCGAAATGGTCTCTTGTTCTCCCGTTCAACGATTACAGGTGTGACAAGGGCCGATTTTCTCATCGCCACTAACGGAAACATCCCGGAAATCTTGATCGCGGAATCAATCCCGCATGAAAGGAGTGCGAGTGATTCAATCAAGGATGTCCATTATGAGCGGGACGAGTTTCATTGGAGCACAATCTCGCGGATGATCACGGGAGGTCGCGAGGGAGCGGCCCCCCTCGCCCCGTGCCCACCTCGGGAAATAGCTGCCATTAACGAATAAAGAGAGAAAATTTTCCACCTGATAAGACTGTTTGCTTATGTTCTCTACGAGAGAGGTATTCACGTCTCCCAGTTATTGGATTCAATATGAGTATATCTTTGTGCGCCGAGCGACTCACTTGAAACAATAGAACTTGTTCCGAAAAGAAACAATTACTTCAGTAGGTAGTTTTGCTAAACTATGCAATCAATTTGTCGACTGAGTTGGACTAAAGGAACGAACAGTAATATGTTTAAATTTTAGAAGAGGGCATACTTGGCAATTATCTTTGAATTTGTAAAAGGAGGCGTCGGTTTCCTCACTCGTTAAAGAGCAGTTGTGTCAATATATTTTAATAGCAGTAGGAACGCATCAATAGGAGATGATAGCGGGCATAACATTGGATTATATTAGATAAGTTACCCGCTCAACGAAAGCCAATTGCGACTACTGTCATAACAATTTAGATTAAATCCATAGCGTCATCCAGTCTGGAATTGGAATTATTCCGGTGTATCGGAAGCAAGGGCTTTAGGTTATTAAACACGGTCGTTCACGTGCCACAACCATTTCACTATATTCCGAGATAATAAATTTACCGGTGGTGCTTCTATTGAATATTTCCTATGGTTGCCTTTGTAGTCCAGTGAATAGGTATCTAATATGTATATTTTAGGGTAGATATATATTATTTCTGTATGTATTGTAAGTTAGACTATAACTGGGTTTGGTTAAGATCTACCTTAGCGTAGGAGGCGCGTTCCAGCTGCCCGCTAAACGGCGGACATGAGTCATCGGCTACATCCCGGTTGAGTAATTGTTCAGATTATAAATATATAAATTTCAATCTAATTTATGGTAGCTTAAGACGTGAAATTTATGCGGCGTCTTATTATTCTGACAGCTCATTCGCGAGTGTTTGATGGTGGTTGGAGTGTTTGTGGACGTCCCTCGCGGATTAATTGATGGGCGTAATTTGGAATGTGTTAGCGGTAACAAAGGGATCCTTCTATGTAGACATGTGATGCATCATTTTGATTGTTCATTGTATTTAAGATGAGTTCTTTGTTAGCAACAAAATAAAACCAAAAACTTTCAAAAGCAAATCAAAAAGCTTTCGCTAATTTTTTTTATTTACAGCTAGTTGCACAAACGTCCTTTAAAAATTTCATTAATTTAAAGTTACATTATCCATACAAATTTGACATTCATTAGAGCTTAAAGGCGTCATTAAACCTTAATGAACGTTTGTGCAACTGACCGTTAGTCTTCTTTTTTTCATTATATCTGCGCTGCGGGAAATAAGTTTATCAAAGATACTTTTCAATTGTCCCTATACTTTTAATTACAAATCCAATAATAAAGTTTTTAGTTGATAAGAAGAACGGTTGTAGGAAATCCATCAATTTTAACACAATTAGCGACATTAATATCTTTATCTATAGTTATTATAAAAGTAACATTAAAATTGATATAATATGCACTGTGTACAAGAAAATAAGCAATCTAAAGAGCAGACTCGTCTCCAGAGTTTATTTTCAACATAAGGAGTGTCGCAAAAACAAATAAGATAAAAAGATCTCGTTTCTAATATCATTCCTCTGGAGATAGCTGTGCAGCCCTGCATCAGGCAGTGATAATATGCAAATGCGTGCTACTCTTGCTAGACAGTCAGAGCACGCGCTTCCCTTTCTGAATTTAATATTTTTCTTGATTGACGACTGTACTTCTGCGGAATACGAATTAAACAGGAGCTGACATCCGAATGGCCCTACTCAAGCTCAAAAACATTTTTATTCTCTTCGATTCCGTAGTGTATATTTGAAGCGAACAAATTAAGGATAGGGCATTTGACCTTATTTCCTTTTAGACGGAAACGGTTTTCATCGTTCTGGTGAAATCGTTTAGTGAAACGTTTTATTAAAAAAAATTCTAGGAACTCTCAACTACACTCGCGGAAATCAAAACGATCCTCGCCATAATTACACAAACATTTAAGTTTAATTGAATAAGTCCTGATTATCCTAAAGACAGAGAGCGTAATCACACATTAACTAAAGAAGATTAGGCTCCAAAACCTTTTTTAAATTTAACTTATTTTATTATTTCAACAAAAAGAAAGAGGTAAAATAAAACAACATACACGATTTCCAATGGCTATAATTTACGTAGGCGAAGTCGGGGAAAACAGCTAGTTATGAATCAATTTGTAAATATACTCCAATAATGTTTAAGTTTAATAAAAAAATAATCCTTTCGCCTTTATTGTAATACTAGCTGTTTCCTCGCGTTTATTTTATTCACGTTAATTAAAACCTTAACTATATTTTATAAGTGAAATTATAACCTATTATAACCTACTAGTTGTTACCCGCGACTTCGGTCACGAGGTAAAGTTACTTTGAGCAGCATTACTAACGAATATTTATTCATTATATCATGTGAAATAAAGTTTCATCGCCAATTTTATTATAGGGGATGCCTATGTCATAGTAGCTTTATACAAACAAAGTCTCAGCCCGATCGGTTTAAAATTGACAAAGTTTCATACAAATTTTCATCCCCTATTTTATCCCCTTGGGGGTAGAATTGATCAAAATCTTTTCTCAGCGGATGCCTACCTGCATGCCAAAGTTCAGACCGACTCATCCAGTGGTTTGGGCTGTGCATTGATAGATCACTATATCAGTCAGTCACCTTTGAGATATATGTGTAGGTGAAAGAATTTTTCAATCTAGTCCAGTAGTTTCGGAGTCTTTTCAATACTAACCAATAAACATTCAAATTTTATCTCTTTGTAGATTACAGTCATGTTTAAATAATTGAGGATCCAATTCTGCTCGATACTTGTTTAGTAAATATGATTTATCAGTCTTGCTTATTTTATTTAATGAAGTTCCTGTATTTTTTTAATCCTTTGAAATAAATCGTGTTCATTCGTGACAAGGGTCCGCACACTCGAAGTTACTTTTCTGCTTGACCCAAATAGTTACTGAAATGCAAGTCAAGTTACTGAGAAATTCCTGCAATGTATGGAGCCACGGAAATTTTATTATTGAGAAACGAGGGAATGAAAACCTAAACGAATTTCGAGTTAGAAAGAAATAAAAATAGGATATATTAGTGTTCTTAAAGAAAAGAAATTTATTTAAATATTATTGAAAAGCATCTTGTTTAAAAATATAGTCAGCTTATCACTGCAATGGTATTTAAATATTCTGGTTAATTTATAACGAAAAAAAAATGTAATGTTAACTACAAGGAAGACTTATTTAAATTGAAAAAAAATCTCGTCACTTGTAATTGTTATTTCTAGAGTTATGAAAGATCATTCCTTGTTTATTATAACCGATCTTTTATCTATCGCTATCATCTTATCGATGTCCCTAGCTGATGGGACCTTTCCTATGAATGAAATAGAAACGAATAAGGAGAGTTTCGTCTGTTCTATTACAATTTTAAATTTTGAAGAGATGTTTGTTCCTAGAATGGGATTCTGCCTGAAATATTATAGTAACGTTATTCTTTAGAGCAATCAAATGGTTTTAATATCCGGAACTCGAAATTCTTGATTGATTGATTCAAGTTCAAGTATTAAGGTATAAATTTACAAACTTGATTAATTGACCAAAATTAAACCGGCTTGATATTTATAAGCCTTTTGAAATTATGCAAATATATAGAGAAAACAAACTAAATCGACGAATACATACATCAATAAAATTACGTTAAAGGGTAACAAAAGTAATTAATATTGACCATGTACGTTATGATTGATATTTAATATCCACAGAAAAAAATACTAGGGTATACGAAAATAAAGGAGCATATCCCAAAATAATATGAAAATAACTTATTTAAAAGAAGGAAGAAAATAAACCGTGAAGAAAAATGTTTTAAACTATCCGAAACGAACGACGCCCTTTCAACAATAATATCAACTTTTATAGTTCCATCAACATTGTGTTTCGATAAATCCGTTTCAGGAACATACGTGTCACAGCAACACATCAACAGTTTTATTATCGGCATGTGTACGACTGTTGCCACTTCTATCAGTGTAATAACGCCAGAGTTAAAGGACTCCCGGGAACTGTTAAGGAAGTCTCCTAGCGCCCGTATAAATTCCATTTCGTTCATTGTCTCAATCTGACATTGGCAACACCATATATTGTTTTCGAATATGATACTTATCACGTAGTGTTAGGGTTACTGCACTGTAAGTAGATAGGTGATACTTAATTAAAATATTGACCCACTATCTTTTTAAGCTCGATGGATCGATAAACAGATATTGCGTAAGAATCAGAAATCTAGATTATCCAATCGATTGTCAGTTTAATTTGTCTAATCTCGATATCGAAACATTTCTTTTCTTTTAATTTTTCATGGCATTCCACATTTAATTTGTTAAGCTCGCTAACAACGTTCACAGCGAGGGTCGTCATAAAGTGAGAAAGTTTGTTACAATAAATTGTCAATATATTAAATAAATAAATTGAAATTTAAGAATAAAATATTATTTAAACTACTAGATAGATCGTCATTATAAAACCAAATTGTTTGATGGAAATATGAATGAATAGGGACTGTCTTTTGGATTTAAAAACGAGATAACCATAAAAAATAACATTTGAACGATGAAACCAATAGATGCGAGTTTAATCTATAATAGTATTATAAGAATGAACAATTCAATTGTTTGTTTGTATCGAAATGACTTCGAAACTACTGGACTGGTTTAAAAATTATTTTACTCGCGGGAAGCTATCTCATACGCGGGTAACGTAGGCTATAATTTACGCGGGAAAGGCTGCGGAAAAATAACTGACTAGTCTCTTTGCAAATTCATTTATATATCATTTTTATAAAGAAAATGACACACACAACTCACATACCACAAAGTTTAATAAGACTAGTTTTTAATATTTCCTGAAACATTTAAGTCTTCTATATGAGGCGTGAAGTGATTTTATTGGTGGTATAGTTTAACCAATCTTAACTAGTCCAAGCTGAGTTTTGATGTGTCACCTTTCATTACCAAAAGTTTCTCTTATTTTTTCTCTACAATAGTGTTACTACCTATACTAAATTTTATTAAAAACTATTGTAATTTGTATAATAAATATCTGATAATATTTAATCAAGCAATTGGACCAGATCTGTCGCTATTGTGGTTGTTTAGTAAACAAGTGTTCGCGTCATTTGCCAGGAGGTATTGAGTATAATCCTTATTATACAGCGGTTCGCTAATGCTCTCCACGTGGTGGGTTAATGCGCGCATTAATAATAAATGTTCAGGGTCTCGGTGGACATTGTCGCGAGCCTACCAACCTTCCAACCCTCTTACGAGACGCACATTACCGCCACCCATTACGACCGGAGTATAACGGGCCCACCAAAAATAACATCAATTAAAATTTATAACACTTGCAGAAAAATCCCAACGCGAAACTCAGCTTTGCTAACGACCGTAGTAAATTTTAGCGGTTTAATTCGGGCGTGAAGCGTGGACAACAGCCATTTTTCAAAAACAATCACACCCAAAACAATGACACGTGTCGTCGCACGACGCCTGTATGGTAGACACGTCACATCGGCGGCGGCAAAGTGGAGAACGCCGAGTTGCATACACTCTCAATTATGAAAATTGAGTTGAGATTGTAACTGTTAAATTCAACAAAGCACGATTAAAAGAGGAAAGAGCACTCAATAAATCAATTAAAGTAACAAGTGCTCCACATGCTGGTATAAACGCAAAAAAAGAGAATAGAACGATGCAAATATTATGCTCAACGACACACGTCTCACGCATCGGCGTCGTTCAGACAAAAATACAATGTCAAAAGCGATCGCATTTGAAACGAGTCCGCTCAGCGGGCCTGGATAAGTGGGTCGAACTGCTAACAACAAAAACGTGAAAACAATACAGAAAAAAACAACAACACGAGTAGAGGCGGGCGCGGTGATGCGTGTCGCGATCCATGTAACAACGCGCGACTGATTGCCCCTGAAAGGGTGAACCGAAACAAAAAACAGTAAAAAAAAAAAACCTGTACCGCCCGTTCTCTACATTGCTGATTAAAACGAAGCGACACAGTACAAAGCGATTATCGGACCGTACATCGTCGTCTATTACTTTATACCCGCTATTGTTTTCGCATCGGTGATGGATTCATAATTGTTACAATAAATCTTTTGTAGGCAAAATTGAATAATAATTTTCAACAAAAAGAAAATTGTATCCCATTTACATTAAGAGAGCGATATTTACGATGCTTTTGGTATTGACTATATGATGGAATGATGGAAAATGGAAATATATTTGTACTATTGACATGAAGATTTTTGGATAAAAAATGTTAACAATGGGTCTCACTATGATGGTTTAAGCATTTTATTTTTATTTCCAATAAATTGACATTATTTTAGAGCAAACCAATTAAAAAGAAAAAGAGAAAAATATTTCTATTCATAATTATATTTTTAATTACGTCGCTATTCTGAATGTACATTCTGCTATTCTGAATGTACATTCAGAATAGCGACGTAATTAAAAATATAATTATGTAGACAACAACGTAGAAGCATAGACCATAACAGCTGCCTAAAACTTACATATGAAAAGTCTATAGAAAAGAGTATCTCATATTAAAGAGTTTTATATGTCATAAGCTTAACTTACATCGTGGAGCCATGATAGTTTTCTAGCTGGTGGGTTGGCTCGTACGTGGCATTCGAAGTAAACGTCATCGCCCTCTTTGATGTCACCTGCGGCGAGCGAGCTGCCTAACCGCAAACGTACTACCGGAGGATCTGAAAGGAATTCAGAAAATATTTAGCTATTATTTTAGAAAATATCTTGACATAGGCAGACTGCATTTATTAGAATTAAGGTATTTAAAATGAATCTGAAAGACAGATCCTTGGAAATCCTGTTTTGATGATTTTTATTCAAGTATACGTGGAAATATTACCCGATTAGTTTAGTGATTCATGAAAGATTGAAAAGTGGCTTTAGAAACAAATTGTGGTGGATTTATACCTCTTCTAATTCTTCTAATTAGAAGTACATACATGTACTTGAATGTCATTAAAATATCAATGTTACTTGTATAGAAAATATATGATGTACGGATTGGTAACATTTCTTTATTATCGAAAGGTATTATTTGGTTATCAGTATTTTCTAAATCGAGATGTTATAAGGGCTTCATAGAGTGGTTTCAAGCCACATATACACACTAATGCACGAGCTTTAAGTGCTAAACTAAATTTTTATTTTTTATTAAGAATTTTAAGAAAATCTGCTATCATGCTCATTAATAATCTAATGAATTTGTCTTAAACGAATAATATCCAGTCACATGTCGTTAGAGGTTTCCCGGAAAGGAATGAAACAATGATATTTTAATAATTATAACATAAATATTATGAGTACTAATAATACGTTACTTACACACAACGCTGATTGTCCACGATGTCTCTTGGTAGAGGGAAGTCCGATTGGGATTCTCTGCTCGACACGTGATTGCTTTTCCGTCATCGTCAAGATTCGGAACGAAACTGAGCACGCTTACTGTTAGGTTATTTCTATGCTCCTCCTGCAAAAAAATATCATAATCATCATCACCAGCCTTTTAATGTCTGTTTAATACCAAACATAAATAGGTTTCTTATTAATATAGAACCTAATTACGATGTTTTTTCATAGTCTCTTATAATTGTCACCTTTCGATAGTATGTTGTGTACCAAATAAATGACCTATAATTCATTTGTTATACTCTGTCTATAATAATATCCCCACTGCTGGAGATCAGGTTTTCTTATGGATGTAGTCGAATTGAATCGATAAGGGAGAATGGGCTATGACTCACTACACGGGCTCAGTGCATATTGGCGGGTATTAACGATTGTAGATGCAGCTTGGACCAACGGCTTAACATGCAAAAAATATATAGGTATAAAATTTTCTGTTCATCTAGCTAAAGAAAACATTATGTAGCAAGATATTTTTGGAATAGCTACTGCATGGTTATAGATTTTGAGGAAATTATAGAATTTACACAGTATAGTGTATTATATTTGTAGTAGAGAGTCTAGAAACATTGTTATCTAGTTTAATATTTAGCAATATTAATTATTAAAATAGTTAATGTTTCAACAGAAACCAAAAAATATGTTAAACAAGGATCAATTTTATATATTATTATCATGTCTTTGTTTATATAAACCATATTTTAAACATATTAAAATAATTTGGTTTAGTAATTAAATTTACCAACCTACCAAAAAAACCTACACTGAACAGTCATGCGAAGCAATAAAATATTTATATACGTGATACGGAATTTGTTTGTCCTAATTATTTTGAGACATGTTGTATGGGAAGTAATAAACCAAATATCTACAGACACTATCAATTAATACTAATATATGGAACATAACTCCGGCCGGTATCGTTTACTTGAATAGGTGGGCTGGTCATAACGGGCATCGACACCGCAAATTAATGGAACCGCCCGCAGGTGGCTGCATCGTTCTCCAAACAATCGGCCGTCTGTAAGCTGTGGATCATATCTAGTGATCTGCACTCCAACGCCTTTCATATTCCCGCAGACTAATAACCAATACCCACAGACTAATTCAGATTCAAACATAAGTAAATGTTGAAACTCACACGGGAGTAATATTAACTCCTAGAAGGGAGTAGGTTTTCTTATTGTCTATATAATATGAATTTGGACGAATACTAAAATTTAAATTTTAGCGTAAATTTACTCTGAACCTTGTTTATTAATAGCATTGACAGTGAATATTCAATCTTAACTGCAATATCAAAATCTTTTCAGGATTGGCATTAGCGAGTTAGAGATTAGAGAAAGGTCAAAACAGTAGAGGTTTCCCATACTGCCTAGCTAATATCAATAATGCAGCGATTATATCTCGTTCGTTACGATATGGCTTATTTCTCTTTTTCGTCGCCAAAACAATCACGTGCGTGCGATAAATCCCGACCGCGAGTGTGCATTTCCCTTCCGCACTTGTCTGATTGTCACGTACACGCCTCAATGGATGTTATAATAATGCTACGAATTATTCTGTATTTCTTTTTTCCTTTTATGTATCCTTATTTCTTATTGCCGATCGTATACATGCATTGTGCTGATAAGGAATTTATTTATTGATGTGTCCCTATACCGAGACCTCGGGATTCATGATTAAATTTTGAAACGATGCGCATTCGGGTGTTCCGCATTCGAATTGATGGGGTGGCACACAGATATCGGGATATAAATTCTGAAGCTCGTTGCAAAAATCTTAATCACAGCTGACTCAGCTCGTCTGTTGTGCAGTTTCATAATTCGAGTGGCATCGCGGCTGGCTGCCGTCCAAACGTGTTGCAGCTTATTAAGCTAAGCGATCACCGCACACTCACCACCGTACGCGCGCTCCCTTGCTCGCCTCGCTCGCTCGTTTCGCTCATCGCAATAGCTTCCTGCATGCATCAGCGTGTTCGTACAGCCGGGCATTATTTTCAGGGTTTATGAGGGTTTTGCCGTTTTGCTTTGCCAGTAGTTCTTGCTCTAAAAAGACTATAAGCGTTCTAATATTTTGTATAGAATGAATGAAAACTTGAATAATTGGTTTAACGTGTTCACAACATTAATCAATAGTCATATGTTTTAAAGTAGCCTGAAATACTGACAAAGGATTAATTAGCCTGGGAAAACTCGAAACGATTTTCAATTTTATGGCTCGATGCCTTTTCTAAACGCTCGTATGTGACCAAAATTTCGACAACGAAATAAATGTTACAAAGGCTTTATTCTCGCGAGTAACAGGTACCTGTTTTTCTAAAAGGTGACATTGTTACAAATTAAATCGGGGCCGAAGTAGAGGGGGGATGCGGGCAGCTTTTCATTAGCACCGTACCCGGACGTTAATTGCATTTTAAATCGTCCGGTTGGTGGGGAGCCCGGGACGACGTCCGGTTTACTATATCGTCCGGTATTGATTTTGGCCGCTCACTATGTGATAAGTGTTTCAAATATTTGTAACGAAAACCGCTTGCGTGCAATGAATGTCAAGAAAATCAATTTAGATACCTTCTTAAATATAACGAGATACTTTAATTATAATATTATTATTAAATTTATGTAGCTGGATGATATAGTAGATAAGCGCCTCGGCTCAAGATAGCTGTTGTTAAGCAATTTTCGCAAGGGTTAGTCATGGGATGGGTGACCAAAACTTTTTTCGTGCTACTCCGTGCTTCGGAAGGCACGTTAGGTCGTTGGTTCCGGGCGCATTTACATTCGTTAATACCCTCCAATCCGCATTGAGCCAGCGTGGAGGGTCATAGCCCATCCTCCTTAACCATCTATAAGGAAGTCCTGAGCCCCTGCAGTGGGGATTTAAAAGGGCTGGTGATGATATTAAACTTACAAATCTTTTTAATATTGAATAATGGTCTTTTGAATATCAGCAAACAAATTCCGCATAGATGAATGGTGGTGTTAATAAATTAAAAGCGCGATAATAAAAGCGGGGTAAGAAGCGTTGCTGTACAAAATGCGTAATGATCGTTAGTTTGAACGGGGCGTAATTATTTTTATTGCGAATGTGCATAAATTAAAGGATCCCCTTCAGTGTCTAATTAAGCGTCCGACATCTCGGTTTTACGAGCGTTTAAACTGAATAGCAAGGTGTTTTTTTACGGGTGCTCCGCAGGCCCGGATCTAGGACTTTTTATTAACCAAGATCGTAATAATATGGCGCCCTTCCATTTCCCCCCCTCGCTCCGTGAAGCCGGATAATAAATTATCGTATTTTAGCAGTGTATCATCATCAGTTTTATTAAAGTTCCACTGTAGTGGCTCAGGCCTTCTTTATGAATGATGAAGGAGAATGGGCCAACACCCTCCAAGCTGGCCTTATTGCGGATTGGACGGTATTAACGACTGCAAACACGGCCGGTACTAATGTCTTATCACGCCTTCATAAAGGATGAAGTAACTCGAAATAATAGTTTTTGGTCATTCATCCCGTGACCAATCCTTGCGAAAGTTGCTTAAGAACAACGATCGCATGCCGTGGCTAATTCCCCTACGCCACCGAGCTACTCAGTTATTACAGTGTATAATACTTTTCTTTAATTCGTTTAGGGATTTTGAAGCATGTCATCGTAGCTTTTAATGTGTGAAGGTCGTCAGCTGGACCGATCTATTCTTATACTTTGTCTTTGTTTTTAGAGTTTTATATATATTTAAATTAGATATTTTATTTTGTTTTTATATTGACATATGGTCTAATGATTGACTTGTAAAAATAAGCTGTTTATTTTCGCACTTATGCCCACACCATTCTTCGTCACCCTCTTCGTCGATAACAATGTGTATATTTATTTATTTATCAGGCTCTCACAACAATGAGTACACAAAACTACAATAAAAATTACATAATAACAAGGTTATATACTAAGTGTCCCATTACTTATAGGAGGGCACCGCTTGCATTGATAGATCATTACACACTTCTCCCACACATAGGCGCTCCAGGCAAGCCACAGCAGCACTATGAGAGACAAGCACGCGCGACACAGCCGAGCGACCGAAACGTCCATATATGAGAACGCGTTTATACTGGCTATAGTTTTAACTTAAAAATAAAAATAATAAAAGAAATATATAATACACGTTAAAATTCTAGTGTATGAATAGTTTCTTAATAGCAGGCATGGAAGTCAAAACAAGGTCGATATTATTTTGGTATTCCTTATAAAATGCAGTTGCTCGCGATAAAGGACAGTGCAACTTTAGATTTGTACGACTCTTAGGTGGATGGAAAAGTTTGCTACTGCCAGATCTCGGTAAATGACATGGAATATTTAAAGTTTAATTTAGAAAGTAGATCGGGACAGTCAGCAGATCCCATCACAAGTCTTTTTAGAAATATTATATCCGTTATTTTTCTTCGCGATTCTAATGTAGACATATGAAAATGTTTTAAACGATCCTCATATATTTTGACTGTTTTTCTTATTTTGCATGAAAATGTCAAGTGCCTTATTTTTTTGTATAAAGAGATTTACAAAGCGGATGTTTTTCGTAACTGTTACAAGGTATTTTACAATGACGATTTTGGCGTCCCTTAACACTGGCGTCCGGGCAACTGCCCCTCCCCTAGATCCAGGCCTGGCGCTCCGGAGATCGTAGCGCCGGGCTAACGAGCGGTCGTAACTATGATTTTTGACACTTTACTGGGTCTATTAAGGTGACCTGGATACCTTTTAAAAGTTTTACAACCCATTCGGTGTCGTTATTCGATAAGATTATATTATATTACCCAGAGTTTATATGCTCTAACTTACTCAGCTGTAATGGTAGTACTGGACTTATTAAGATGTATTTCGTCAGCACTAGGGGTTTTGAAGAAAAATTTACTTGTCATCTACAACGTTGTTCATAAAGTATAAAGTTAATTTAGCTACAGCATTTCATGATATTTTATATAATCTATTTTATATTCTTAATTATACCACACAGAATAATTTACACACGCAAAACTACAACCTTACTATAACAAATACAAGTACAATATTTCTTGTGCCACAATGAATTGTCATACAAACTTTTTGCCATACAAAATTGGTGTTCGAAATTGGAAAAATATTACCAAAAATACTTATCAAGCGTGTAATCCTAGTAGTTTCAATTTCAATATCATCTCTGAGGTCCTGGGTTAGAATTCCCGGTCGGATGAATGTAGAAATTTGACTTTTCTTATTGTTTCGGATCTGAATGTTGTCGTACAATGGTTGTCTCAGATACTGCATAATACGGGGGCTTAAGCTACTCTTAAAATCTAAACTATGTATGTGATCTATACTAATATTATAAAGATGAAAGATTTGGTTTTTTGCTTAAAAAAACTTCAGGACCGATTTTAAATATTCTTTCACTCGCTGGATGGTACATTATATACGGTGAACATAAAGGGTATATATTGGCCCGAAAAAAAACAGCAATTAAAGGAATGAAAATGGGAGTGGAACTTTGTATAGGGAATTAAAACGTTGCCATAGTAACCATTGTTTACTATTCAATTTGTCATTGTCATTATATCCGAGTTATGATATGAATCGACATCCAAATAAAAAAAGTTCCTCTGAGACCACGCGGCGGAAAGCTAGTGTTGTATAATATTTATTTATTTTGTTTTATTTCTGATAATGTCAAGCTTGCATAAACAAAATCATTCCCTACTTCATCCCCTTTCTTCATAATAAAAATATTAGCAGGAAGCAAAGTAAAAATGTAGGAATCAATTTCCATTAGTAGCCATGTGTACTCAGATATTGTAGTATTGTGGACAAATTCAGTAATTATTGGTTCGACCGACGCTTTAGGGTTGTGTTTAGTGAACAAACATAGTGATTGCTCGCACACAACACCTAAGGATGTCTCGCCATTAATTGCTTGGATCCCTACCGTTATTGGTGTCTACTATTGATATTGATTGGTTTACGTTGAGATATAACAAAGATAACAGCAGCAAAGCTTTCGCTGAGCAAGTTTATTTTGTTATTAAATAGAATTGTGTTGGTGTTATTTAAAAGAACCGTGGAAAAAATATTAATAACTGTGGTCTGAGGTACTGCTCTGATTAGTTAAGGAAATAATCTACATTCACTCAAGTCTGGGTGTTGTGACACCTTCTTTGTTTCAGATTTCTATAATACAAATGCTCTAGCTACTTAATTTGGATTCTGAGCTATGTATCTGATGTCTAATAATTATTTTTATAATTTGTACTAGCTGTTTTTCTGCCACTTTGTCCGAGTATATGTCACACGAGTATGATGTAGTTTCTAAGAATTTTTAAAACCAGTCCAGTTTTCGCGGAGCCTATTCATTATTATATAATTAGTAACATTTTTAGGGTTCCGTACCTCGAAAGGAAAAAAACAGGTCCCTTATAGGATCACTATGTTGTTCGTCCGTCCGTCGGTCAAGACTCTTTTTCTCAGAAACATGTGGAGGTACCAAGCTAAAATTTATATCAAACTCTCAGGTCTACTGTCCCTTGGAGCTGTGAAAAAAATCAAATTTCTAAGCCAACGCAATCAAAGAATATAGCCGTTATGGCGCAAATTTTCGCAAATTTACGAAACTCGCAAGGAAATTAAAACCTACAGGGTACTTCCCGTGAACTCAGAATCTTGAAACTTGGTGCAAAGCAACGTCTTATAGCATAGTTAAAGGGAAAATTGCGAAAATAGTAAATTTTTACATCATATAATAAAAATATTTTTAATAATCATTAAAACTTATTTGTGCTGCGTAGCTCAGTAGTTAGCGCAGTTGCCCGGATTGCGAAAGGTCATGGTTTCCAATCCTATCTCAGGGTGCCAGGGACCAAAGAGAAATTGTTAAGCATATTTCATTAAAAATATTTTTCAGTATAGCATTGTGAATGCGAAATTATTCAAATATAACATATAGAACCAATTTTCATCTTTATCGATATT